CCAGCAGGTAGTGTGGTGGTTAGGGTGCTGGACTGCCATCTGACTGACCATCATTCAGATCCCAAACCTGGTGCTTGAAAATCATGCCAGGTACATGTGCATGCATGCCATCCCAGATCTGGCTCAAACCTTGGTCAGCCATGTGGGAGTCCAGTGTCCTTAACCACATGCCACCTGCCAGCCCCTAAATAGAATAATTTAAGAAGAGTGGGGCGGTTGGGACTGGCAGTTAGTATAATGGCTATGTCGCTGGACTCCCACGTAGTCAACCGCGGTTTGCAGCCCAGACTCGGTGGCTTAAACTCACGCTGGGCATGTGTGCGTGTGTGCCCAAGATCCCGAGAGGAGAATGGAGGAGAAGGGATTGCGGCGTGGCCATCCCCCCTGGGGGGTGATTTCTCACTTTCTGTCTCTCTGTCTCTGTCTGTCTGGCGAGCGCACGCGCCCTATAGCAAAAACCTCTCTCTCAAAAAAAAAAAAACCTAAACTAAACAAACAAACAAAAAAACAATAAAAAAAAAAAAAAAGAAAGGGAAACAAGCCGCCAGGTCCAGGACTCAAACCACAGTTGGTCATGTGAGAGTCCAGCATGTCTAACCACCATACCACCTGCCAGCCCTACATTGTTCAGTACATTTTTCTATAATGCAGGTCTAGTAATTAGAATGAAATGCTTTTGGGGGAGAATAACATTTTACTTGATTGGGGTTCAAAGTTAGTGTTTCGTGTCCCCATAATTGATGGCAAATGTTTATCTGAAATGCTGCTCTGTGAATAGATTTGTGTATTTAATTCGAAAATGATTTTGCACACAGACACTCTCAGATATTTTTATTAGTCTACAAATGTATGATTTTAATTGAGCATACTCATTGCTTAGCAGGTATTAGAGTTTTTAATTGCCTTTTAACATATTATAGTTTTTTTTTTATATAAGTGGAGGCTTTTTTTTTTTAAGACTCATTTTATTTAACTTTTATTTATTTATTTTTAATCTGACCAGAGAGGAACAGAGAGAGAGTGAGAAAGCAAGCTGCCAGGTCTGGGACTTGAACCACGGCAGTCCAGCTACCCTAATTACACACAAGTGCTGGCCCATCATTGCAGATTAATCACTATGAATTGAAGGGTTAGGTAGAAGCTCCTCAGTTGCATATTTTGAAATGGACTTTGAGATGTGGAAACGTACCTATGCTTTTATACTCAAGTCCAAAAATGCTGCTAGGAACTATAGTTTGAAATTGGAGGGACCAGCAGATAGCATAATGGTTACATCACTGGACTTCCACACAGTCAGCCATGGATTGGGTCTTGGACCTGGCAGTTTAAAATGCACACAGAGTGTGTGTGTGTGTGTGCGCGCGCGTGTGCGTGCCCAGGATCCCCAGAGGAGAGTGGAAGAGAAGGGATTGCAGCATGGCCACCACCCCCACGCCGCCCCCCGGGGGGTGGGGGGTGGGCACAGACTGGGATTTCTTGCCTTTTGTGTCTCTTTGCCTCTCCAGGAAGTGCATGTGCCCTACAGCAACAATGTCTCTAATAAAAGAGTAGTAAAATTTTTTAAAAATTGGAAATGAAGATGTCACTTTTATAAATTTTTGGCACCATAAGTAGAAGAAAAGTCTTCACATGTGCTTGGAGCAACATTAGTAGTTGTTGAAATGACTTTACTGCTTTGTAAGTTTCGTGTGAGTGGTTTTATTCCTTGTAATTACAGCCTGAATCGATTAGGAAACATTACCAAGTCTGCAACAGAAGTTACTTCTTAAAGTGGTACAATGTTTAGAAGTACTAATGACAGAGAGTATAAGTTAAGGGATAGTAAACGCTGAAAGAAGATGGAGACTACTTAACAGGAGTGAAATTGGCAGGAATAGCAAAAAGCAAACACAATAACAGGGAAGTCCCTTTTCCCTCTCCCTGCCGTTTCACTCAGCTTCCTATTGACAAAACTAGTAGTCAGTCGTCAGGCCTAGGAAATGCGTTTCGCAGAATCCCAATCTCAACGTCATTGAGCAGTGTGTGTGTATGCATGTATTAGGTCATCGGGAACGTCATGACGTATTTTTCTGCCTTTGTATGTAAAACTGCGACATGACTTCCCTGACGACCCAATGTTTGGAGTTGAGAGGTGCTGTGTAACTACGTAATACACGGTTGTACTCATAGTTGAATTTCTGTAGAACAATTACTGTTTTTTAAAGAATTACTTATTTAACTTATTCATTCATTTTAATTTGACCAGAGATAGAAAGAAAGTGAGAAAGCAAGAAAGCAATCCACCAGGTCTGGGACTCAAACTGTGGGTGTTCATGTGTGAGTGTCCATCGCTTTAACCACCATGCCACCTGCTGGCCCCAAGAACAATTATTTAAAGCTTTCATCAAACAAGGTGCAGCTACCCTTATAAATGACGGTCCTTCCACCTCTGTCCAGTCTTGGTGTCCAGTCTGTAGGTGGTACCATATCCAGCTCTAGGTTACATGAATGGCTACTGCAGTTCAGTCAGTTTAACCTAAGTACTGAGTTGTAGGAAAAGTCTTGGCATATTTTTCTCTTTGTCTTTGCAAAAATGTGGCTTGGCTTTTCCAACAACCCAATAGTTTTGCAAACTCTGGGCTAGAGGGCAAAACTGGTATAGTGCCAGATTTCTTTCTTTTCTTTCTTTTTTTAAATTGCCACATGTCACAGGCACTAGTTGGAAGAAAACAGAGGGAGGGAGGGGAAAGCCACCTCCAGGGGGCGCGGTCATGCTGCAATCCCGTCCTCAGTTCCTCTGTCCAGTTGGGGGTCTTAGACTTGCACACACATGCTGGCTGGTTTTCAAGCTGCCTGGGGCTGGAATTTGAGCTGGAGTTGGCCGTGGGATTTGGTCTCCCATCCGCTTGGATACAGGGCTGGCCCAGATTTTGATACATGAAAATTAATTCAAATTCCAGTGGTTATACATAAAGTTTTATCGGAATAGAGCCTTGCTCGTTCATTTCTGTGTTCTCTGTGGCTGCTCTTGTGCTGCCATTGCAGTCAGGTAGTTATGACAAACTTCATGGACTGCACAGCGTGAAATGTGGCCTGCCTTGTCCTTTACAGAAAAAATTGCTACCCCTTAAACACATAATGAGAAATCCCTACTGACGAGCTTTATCTAAAATTATTAGAAGAGAGAAAGGAAGCAAAAATCATAACGCTCGCGCACAGGTGACCGTGAGCAAGGCAAAACAAAATGCGTAACTTTTATTCTCCTTGTTTTTGTGCCAATTATCGGGTCTGACTTACCTTTCTTCTCCTACACCCCATTGTTTCTTTTGCCTTCACTCAGTACCTCAGCTGGAACTGGTCAGGTTTTGTTTAAAATTTTTGTTTGTTTGTTTTTTGTTTTTCTGAGGGATTTCTGCTATAGGGTGCATGCACTTGCCAGAGAGAGACAGAAAGTGAGAAATCAACCCCCAGGAGGGGTGGCCGTGCCACAGTCCCTTCTCCATTCTTTGGGGATTTTAAACGCGCACCTGGTGTGTTTCGAGCTGCCAGGTCCAGAACTCACCCCGGTCGCCCTCATCCACCATGCCACCTTCTGGCCCTTTTTGTTTAAATCCCAGAAGGATGCATGAGCTCCTCCAAAGAGAAGCAGAGAGAGGAGAATCCACCCTTCAGTCCAGCACAGCCACACTGTAGGCCCTTCTGTGTTTCTTTATCCTGTTACAGAGTGATTTGTAAATGTGCATTTGTTACTTTTATAACCATAAATAGCAACAGGTTTTCTAACTAAAGCTTTTCATCAGAAGTACAACTACATAACGTATTTGCATCTGGGCTGGCAGGTGCTATGGTGGTTAGGTGCTGGACTCCCCCATGGCTGAGTGTGGTTTGAGTACCAGACCTGACAGCTTGCTTTCTCACTTTCCCTGTCTTTCTCTGTCTCTGATAAGCATGTGTGCCCTGTAGAAAATTTTAAATTAGTAATACTGCTAGATTTTAAAATGAAATAATTATTTAAGAAACATATTTACACCTAGCTTTCTATTGTGAAGTGTAAACCCCATGAAAAATGTTAAATGAAATAGCTGTTTTATGGAACCTAAATTCCCTATTTGATTATCAAATTATTTGATAATAAAGCATGAACAAAATGCAAGGTAATCAGTAATGCAGCCAAATAGCAAGTTAATTTGATTATTCTAATGAGGAAGGGAACTTAACATTTTTTAAAAAACTATATTGCCTTTATAAACTTTGAACTAATTAATTAATTAATTTTTTGAGAGGTTTTTTGCTATAGAGCGTGTGCGCTCACCAGAAAGAGAGAGAAACAGAGAGACAGAAAGCAAGAAATCACCCCTCAGGGGGATGGCCACACTGCAATGCCTTCTCCATTCTCCTCTCGGGATCTTGGGTATGCACACACATGTGCCTGGCATGAGTTTAAGCCACCGGGTCCGGGACTTGAACCATGGTCGACTACATGGGAGTCCAACAACATAGACATTATGCTAACTGCTGGTCCCGTATTATTGTTATTATTAAAATTTGACCAGAGAGAGAGAAAAAGAGAAGGAAAGTAAGAAAGCAAGCTATCAGGTCCAGGACTCGAACCTTGGTCACCCACATGAAAGTCCAGCATCCCGACCACCACACCACCCACCAGCTCCAGAAGGAAACTTTTAAATGGGCTTGAATGTAAAATTAATAATGAAAGTCTTAAGTTCTTTGTAAATCTGGTGCTAATACAGATAACAAAAATCTGATAGTTGATGCTTGTTTATAGGGGTTTTTTTTTTGAGACTAGTCATTTCATACTTGTGATCTTGTCCCAAATTCTTTGTTTATGTTTTATGACTTTTTTGTCAAATTTTTAGAAGGGTTGGAAAAATTTTATTGTGAATCTTCTGATAGTAACTGATGGCTACTTTGTGTTAAAATGGAGATGACTTTTTAAAGAATACATGCTCAACTAATTTCTGATACCAGGAGTTGACTATATTCTTCTTTGTACATTTCGACAGATGGTAGTAAAAACTTTTATGGATATGGATCAGGATTCAGAAGATGAAAAACAGCAGTATCTCCCACTAGCCTTGCATCTTGCATCTGAATTCTTCCTCAGGAACCCCAATAAAGATGTTCGTCTCCTTGTAGCATGTTGTTTGGCTGACATCTTTCGAATCTATGCCCCAGAAGCTCCATACACATCCCATGATAAACTTAAGGTAAATACAGTCTTTACGTAAATTGTTTTATTTTTATAGTTCAGTTTACCCAGCTGGACATAGGTTTTATTTTCTTACTGCCCTAAATTAACTGTAAACTAATTATTCTTATTGTCTTAAATAAATTATAAAATTGGTTATTTGTTAATACTTATTATCTATGCATTTTTTTAAAGAATTATTTAACTATATTTGTTTGTTTGTTTGTTTGTTTGTTTGTTTGTTTTTAATTTGATCCGAGAAGGACAGAGTAAGAGTGAGAGAGAGAAAGCTGCCAGGTCTGGAACTCGCTTGTGTTGGCCATGTGGGAGCCCAGTGCCCTTAATCCCACCATGCCACCTGCTGGCCCCCAGATTACTTTTTTTTTTAATTAATTAACTTTATCTTATTTGTTATTATTTATGTTTTAATTTTACCAGAGAAAGACAGAGACAAAGGGAAAGTGAGGAAGCAAGCTGCCAGGTCTGGGACTCAAACCACAGTTGGCCATGTGGAATCCAGAACCTTAAACACCACATCTCCTGCCAGCCCCGGTTATTAGTATATTTATGAGACTCTGAAAGATGTCAGTTGGGCTAGCCAATGGCATGGCAGTATTGGATCTCATATGGCTGACTGTGTGGTTTGAGTCCCAGACCTAGTGCCTCGAAAAACATGCTGGGTGCATGAGTATGCATGCCCAAAATCCTGAGAGAAGAATGGAGAAGGGATTGCAGTGTGGCCATCCCTCTGGGGGATGATTTCTCACTTTCCTTCTGTCTCCAGCAAGCGCATGCACCCTATAGCAGACCAAAAAACAGGTGCCTAAAATTACTATTTACATGTAGGAAATGTAATGGGAGGATTTATATTCAGTTTCTTAAAATGAGGATAGTTGTTGGCTATGATGCAAGATGAATTTAGTCAGTGAGTGGAAACAACACAGTACAAGGAAAGAGACACAGAACATGTTGTCCTCTCAAATGACAACGCCTAAGGACTGGGAAGTAACAGTCTTCATGTTTCGTTTCTAAAAGATGTAAATTTGTGTGATTTGATATTTTCCAACGACTAAGTAATGGACCGGGCGTGTCCCAAGCATTCAGCTAAAGGGGAATTTCGTTGTGGTTTGTAACAGTATGTGTGTGTGCGCGCGCCACGCACGCGTGTGTACTTATTATTATTACTGTGTTGTGAAAGAATGATGCATATTTTTGCCTAAATTGATGTATTTTGTTTTTTTAACAGGACATATTTTTGTTTATTACCAGACAATTAAAAGGTTTGGAAGATACAAAGAGTCCGCAGTTTAATAGATACTTTTATTTATTAGAGGTAAACCCCAAAATTTTATTTACTAAATGTCACATTATTTCACATAGTAGTGTATCCTTTTTGGTTACTTTGTAATATAAAATTAGTTTTGTTTTGTTTTTTTGTTTTTTTTTTGTTTTTGCTTTATACAAAGGCCACTTAAAGTATGATCTTTTTATTGTTTCTCATATCCTGAAAGGTTAATCCACTGGAAAAACTTAGATTATTTGAAATTATAGTTTTATTTTTATCTTTTTAAAATCTTTTTAAATCTAAAAATTGATTAATTTTACCCTGCTCTTTAAACTTTATGTGCATGTGTGTGTGTGTGTATAGATATATATGTATGTGTATGTATATATATATCTATACACACACACACATACACATCTGTCAACCTCTAAATATTTAGGTTTTTTTTTTTGAGAGTTTTTTGCTATAGGGCACATGCACTCGCCAGAAAGACAAAGAGAGACAGAGAGACAAAAGGCGAGAAATCACCCCCCCGGGGGGATGGCCACGCTGCAATCCCTTCTCCTCCATTTTCCTCTCGGGATCTTGGGCACGCACGCACACACGCCTGGCGTGAGTTTAAGTCACCAGGTTCGGAATTCGAACCGTGGTTGACCACATGGGAGTCCAGCGACATAGCCATTACGCTAACTGCTGGCCCCAGTATTTAGTGTTTTACATTTGAAGAAGCAGGTGCCAGGAGGGATGTGTCTTGTTGAAGGTCAGAGCACGTGATTTACTTTGCACTTGTGATTTTATATGTTGGGTCTTTTTAGGTTTTCAAATAGATTCTTGAATCTAGTGATTAAATTTTACTAATGTGTATGCTTTTGTATAAATTTTCTGTATACTGTAATTAATCATTTTTATCTATTTATTTAAGAATTTAGCTTGGGTTAAATCATACAACATCTGCTTTGAATTGGAAGATTGCAATGAAATTTTTATACAGCTTTTTAGGACGCTCTT